AACATCGGCAGCAGCAGAGACAACATCGGTAGTAGCAGAGACATCATCGGCAGCAGCACAGACAACTTCGGCATCAGCAAAAACAACATCGGCAGCAGCAGAGACAACATCGGCACCAATTGCTAGCCCTTCAACAACACCAGTCTTCGTCGAAAACACACCACCGACTCCCACGCAGCAGCCAGATCCAACTCCATGGGAAGTCTATCGAAGCGCAAACTTCACCGCAGGCTTCAACTCCAACTCCGACCTGTACAGACGCTCACCCGGACATCGCGCCACTGAATGAACCTGGGACGCAAGAATGGGACATCCAAGCAACACGACGTTAAACAACACGATAAGAGCAGGTGTGCTCGACAAGGATTCACTACTCTTAACCGACAACAGAGAACTCTAGCGAGTCCGTGGAACGTGCTTCACCTGCCCCGAAGCTGACTTAAAACATCAGCCATTCGTCTCATCATATCCCGAGCGCACTAGCATACGCACCTCTGGAGAAAGTGTACAGCGACATCCTGTACAACCGTGAAACTGGGCAAGGAGCATACAATTATATCATCACGTTCATCGGTGCCGCCACACGATATGTCTAGCACCTCAATCTTCCAAGCCGCGACATGGCCTTCGAAGCCTTCGTCGCATGGCTTCCAATAGCAGAACGGGAAGCAGGCGTGAAGCTAAAGAGCTTCCAATCTGATGGGGGAGGAGAATACGCGTCACAAAGGTTCAAGCAGTACTTGGCAGAGAGAGGAATCAAGCGACGCATTTCCCTTCCCTACGCCCATCAACAACAGGGCGTAGCAGAAAAGATGAACATGACCCTTCGAAACACCATGCGCAAGCTGCTATGTGGCATGCGGCTACCCAACCACCAGTGGCCCGAAGCAATGGACCACGCCGTGATGCTGCACAACTTGCTCTCGTCATCATCGCTCCCAAACAACGCATCACCGCATTTTCTGTGGACAGGAAAGTTGGGCAACACAAAAATGTTGCGAGTTTCTGGATGCATGGTACAGTACCGACCCCCATCTGCACGAGCAGGCCGATTCTCCCAACGCGCACAGTGGGGGCTACACCTGGGCGTCGAAAAACATTACAACGCATGGAAGATTTTCGACATCAACACAAAGGAAACAGTGGCAGCACGTGATGTCATCTTCTACGAAAACCTCACTCTTTGGACATACCTTGCCAACGTGGAAGAAGGAAACCCAGAACTCTCGGGCGGATTTCTTGGCACCCGAGCCTTCGCCTCGGCAGAGGATGAAGCTGACTGGGATGACCAGAACGTAGACAGAGCCTCGGAGGAAGCCGGACCTCTTCCCTACTGTTCAGTTGACGTACCGATGGCCGACGAAAATCCTCGCGAAAGCATCAACGCCAAAGTTTACTACCACTTCGCTGACAACGGTTACGTTACATCGGCAAGAGTCAATACCAACGAAGCAGAACGTGTAGGACCCAACTTCGTACCTGATCCTGAAACGGGAGACGAAGCAGTCTATTCCGAGGACACATCTCTTCCCCGCTACACACAGAGCGGACTTCAGATACTTGGCCTCGTCACCGCAGTTCACGGCACGGCAATTCCTAAGGAGCCAGCCACATTTCAGCAGGCTCTAGTGGGGGAGCATAGGGAAAAATGGCGTGAAGCCATGGATAGGGAGCTGAAAGCGCTGGAAGAATGAAACACTTGGAAAATCGTTCCCATCGGCGTGGCACGCAACAAAACGGTACTCACCGGAAAATGGGTCTTCCGTGTGAAAACAAAGGCAGACGGCACCATCGACAAGTTTAAAGCGCGCTGGGTCGTACGCGGTTTCGACCAAGAGCATGGACGCGATTTCACCGAGACGTTCACACCAGTCAGGCGACACACTTTGCTACGAATTCTCCTCGCGATCGCCACCATGAAGAAGAAGAAACTACGGCAAATCGACGTCGCCAATGCTTTTCTCTATGCACCTGTTGACGATTAGATCTTTGTCGAGCTACCACACGGCTCCAACGGAGATCCGAACCAAGTCTGCCAACTACTTTGAGAGTAATCTCTATATGGCATTAAGCAGGCTCCGAGACTGTGGCAGCAGTATCTACACGCTCAACTCACCCGTATCGGATTCCGCCAACTACCGCATGACCAGGGCATGTACCGACTCACGAAAGGCAACGACTACATCCTAGTCATCGTCTACATAGACGACCTCCTCTACATCGGCTCGACCGACAATGTCACAACCTGGTTCAAAGGGGAGCTGCAGCAGGATCTTAATCTCACAGTGTCATCGACCGTCACGCAGTACCTCAGCCTCAATATTCAAGAAGAGGAAAGCACAATCTTCCTCAGTGCCGCAAAATACGCCGACACCATCGCCAAACGCTTCGGACTCACGCCGACCGCCATCTCCACGCCATACTGTTACACCACCGGAAGTCACAAGGAAGGCTCCGCTTCTCTCAAGCCCGCAGGCATACGCAACTACCAGAGAAAGCTGGGATGCCTCCTCTTCGCAGCCGTTACCTGTCGTCCGGATCTATCATACTCTGCTAGTCAACTCGCCACCTACCTCAAGAAACCTGAAGCGGAACACATGGCGGAGCTCGACCATGCTCTTCACTACCTCGTCAGCACCCTGACGATTAGCCTAACCTACCACAAGACCGGAACTACAACACCGAAGTTAATCGCCTATGTCGACGCTGATCAAGTCGGCGACTCTAACAACAGGCGCTTGCGCACCGGCTACATCTACCGACTCGAGCCTATCTGACCTATCTCGTGGCAGTCGAGCAAGCATGAACTAATTGCTCTCTCCTCAACTGAGTCAGAATACATTGCACTCTGACCAGCCACCAAGAAAGGACTGTACCTTCGCGAAATGCTGGAAGAAGCGAAGCTGGCCCAGTTACCCAGCTTCTCTTTATTCTGCGACAACCAGTCTGCAATCCGCATAGCCAACAAGAACGGATTCACGAACACAACGAAGCACATCGCCCTGAGATATTTCTTCGTGAAGGACGAGATCGAGAAGGGGAGACTCGAGCTGTCCTACTGCCCCACGTCTGAGATGGCAGCTGATTACTTGATTAAGAAGCTCGGAAAGAAGTTCGAGTACTGCATGCTGCTAACTGGACAAGGCCACGTCACCAGCAGCGACACTCCAGAAGCGAAGGGGAGTGTTGGAAACAAGTGACTTAAGCGCTTCTGTTGTGTCGAAACACTAAGTCATAAACGAAGCGAAGCACAACAAAGCATCGGCGAGTCAACCATCGGAGGTTGACAAGTGAAGAAACCGCTGGAGGTTACGCTAAAGTCAAAGGTCAGCGACCTTGGACCTGACAAGTACAGCGCAACAGCAAGGACAAATAACAGACTCATTATAAAGCAGTTGCCCGAGTCGTCACTGTATCGAACCGCAACAGCAACAGTAAAACATTTATTAGTTGTATCTCTTCATATACCTTGTACTCATATAAAAGCCTTATATCTCTTTGCTTTAATCAATCTACTTTGCCCTCACATACCAGCGCAAGGTGGTTCAAGAAATTATCATTTAAACGCTTCCGCTATTACAACTTCCTACTTAGAGTTTAGCCTGGCAAAGATCCAAAGGGCATGTTCAGCCCAACATGTGTGACCAGTGAGGACAACTCGAGCCCGTCCTCCAAGCACGAGCCCCATGCCCGAAGTACTGCACAGGTAGCGCAACACCCTCTTAGCTGCATCCATGTGCTCTGGTCGGTGTCTCCCAGGAGCTACATAGCGTGCCAAGATGCTAAGAGGGTATGCCAGGTCAGGTCGAGTGCAGGTCATCAATTACATGAGGCAGCCCACAAGCTCTGGGTACGGGCCACTCGGCTCTACGGACTCATCCGAAGGAAGAGCTGAGAGCCAGTGGCGAGTAGACAGAGGAGTGGCCTGAGGCGAGGAGTACGTGAAGTTGAAGCCCTGAAGGACCTGCTGCACCATGTGTGACTCAATCAAGGTAATGGTGCGCCGTGCTCTGTCCCGGGTGATCTGCAAGCCAAGATAGCTGCGCAGTTCAGCCACGTCTGTGCACGTGTGTCTCTTCTGCAACTCCGACTTCATGTGGGCGAGTCCCTCAGTGTCATCAGTAGCAAAGACCAAGTCGCCGACGTACACAAGGATGTAGAACGGCAGCAGAGTGGTGTCGGTGCGGAGAAACAGCGACGGGTCGGCTGTAGAAGGAGCAAACCCAAGAGCCGCAAGTGTAGTCCTCGGTGTGTCGTGCCACTCACGGGGCGCCTGGCGGAGACCGTAGACTGGCCGCCGGAGGCTCCAATGGGTACCAGGAGGAAAAGACCCAGTGAAGCCAGGTAGGCGGCGCAGCTAGATCTCCTCGTGCAGGCTGCCCTGCAGGAAAGCTGTGCTGAAGTCAAGAGAGTGAAGCTCGTAGTTGCGCTGAGCGGCTATGTGCAGCAGCACCCAAAGAGTGGTCATCTTCGGGGTGGGAGAGAAGGTATGAAAGTAGTCAACTCCCTGCCACTGACTGAAGCCTCGAGCCACGTAACGTGCCTTGAAGACAGGCGGAGAACCCGGCGGCCGCTTCACCCTGAAAATCCACATGCCATCGACAATGTTCGCCCCAGGTGGGGGGACCTCGTTGACGTAGGTGCCTGCGGACTTCCAGGAAGCCATCTCTGTGTCCATGGCTATCTGCCACTGAGAGGAGTAGGGACCCTCTATCGCCTCTGCATAAGAGCGCGGGGTCGGTATGTCTGGTGCATCCGGGTCTCCCTCAGGGGCAATCAGCATGGACACGAGATGAGGTAAAGCAGGAGCAAAGCACTGGAACTCCTTCTGCCTGTCCTCAAGGACGTCCGTGCTAAGGGCACACTCACCCCTGACGGACGGAGGACAGACAGGCTCAGACTCAGCAACAAGACTAGCGGCGTAGTCTGGACGGCAGCGAGCAGCAAAGTCGACAAGCTCAGCAACAAGAGCAGACGCAACTGTAGACTAAAAGGAAGGGTCAGTGACCACACTGGCCAGGAGACGCGTGACAGTAGGACTAGCAACACGAAGGGAGTCAGACTCCGGGTCCGATCCGACAGGAAGGGAGGACGCAGGAGGAGACAGCAAAGGGACACGCTGGGGAGCAGTGGAAGGACGCAGTGCCATCTGGTGCGTGACGGGGACAGGAGGAGGACGCTGACGCGAACCATGACGACCAATGCGAGTAGCACGAATAGGCGATGCATGACGAGACGCAGGCGCACGACGCTCAGCAAGACCTCTGGTCGGACCAGTGTAAAGAGAAGGAGCAGGCAGTGGGGAGGTGGGCTGTAGCTGTAACTGTGACTGCGACTGCGGCTGGACAGGCAGTAGAGACTCTAAGGAAGGAGCAGGACCACTAGAAGGCGGGAGACCAAGAACCTGATGAAGGAGTGGAACGAGCAGGGACAGCACCAGCACCCTCAGCGTCAGCGCCAACTCCAGCAGGACCACCAGCTCCAGCAGCACCTCCAGCAACTCCAGTAGCGCCAACTCCAGCACCCCAAGGAGCACCGGCTCGAGTAGCACCTCCAGCTTCAGCACCTCCAGCAGCTCCAGCTCCAGCAGGACCAACAGAAGCGCCAGCAGCTCTAGTAGTGCCAGCTCCAGTACCTCCAGCAGCACTGCCAGCTCCAGCACCTCCGGTAGCTCCAGCTCTAGTAGCACCACCACGCCCAGCAGCTCCAGTACCTGCAGTACGAGCACCTCCAGGACCAGTGGCTCCAGGTCCCCCAGCAGCTCCAGCAGCAGTAGGACCTCTAGCGCCCGTAGCACCACCAGCTTCAGCAGCACGACTCTAGCGCCGAGCAAACCACTCGCGCAGCTCCTGTAGAGAGAGTGGCTCCTGCCGGGACGAAGCACCCGAAGGACCTCCAGGCTCAGCACCTTCAGACTCCACACCCGCAGGCTCAGCACCCTCGCTCTCTGCACCCCCAAACTCAGCAACCTTAGGCTTAGCACCCCCAGGCTCAGCACCCCCAAGCTCAGCACCCCCAGACTCAGCACCCCCAGGCTCCGCACGCTTAGGCTCAGCACCCCCAGACCCGGCACCCGCAGGCTCAGCACCCCTAGCCGCACCAGAGTCAACAGCTACCTCGACAGGCAAGACTGCGTCTACCTGGGACACACCTGAGGGGGCAGGACCCTAAGGGGGAAGGGGGTCTACCGGAGGAGGACCTGGCGCGAGGAAGAGCGGCAGGGGGGGGAAGGGAGGCAGTGCGGTAGGGGGAGAGACGATAGTAAGGAACCGACTCGTCAATGGTGATGTCCTAAGGAGACATAACATGGCGCGAGGTGGGGTGGTAAAACTGCCAACCAGGCGCGTTAGCGGGGAAGCCAAGGAAGACGCAGGGAACAGCACGGGAGGACAACTTGTCTGCGTACAAGTCGCGGACGAGAGCTTGAGATCCCCAGAAACAGAATGCAGACGCATCGCCAACCTTCCCCGTCCACCGCAGCATAGGTGTGGTCTCCGGCATGGAGACGCGGGGCTGGAGGTTGACCTGATGCGCAGGGTACTGAACCGCGAACGGCCACAGAAAATGGGGAGCAGCCGCATGGATCATGGACGTACGAGCGACGTCCATGACCATGCCAATGCGGCGCTCAGCAATCCCATCTTACTGTGGAGAGGCTGGAAGCGTGAACGTCTGGCGGATGCCCTCCGCACGAAAGAAGGCTCGCAGAAGGTTGGAGGAGAACTCTCCACCTCTGTGAGAGTGCAGACGCAGAACAGCAAGGTCCGAGGCGAAGCTCCTCCTGAGGTGGAGACGAGCTGCGCGGATCCAGTCGATCAACACCTCAGTGACATCACCCTTGCTGCGCAAGGGGAAGACTGCGGTGTAACGCGAGTGGTCGTCAACCACCAGCAGGAAGTAGTGCTCGTGACCCTGTCCACGGACGCGGGCTAGGCCCCACACGTCCATGTGAAGAGTCTGCAGGGGAGCCTCTGTCGGAGGAAACTCGGAGGAGTGAGGAGCGGCGCTTTGCCACCCCTCGACGCAAGGAACGCAGGTGGGGGCAGGCCCTAGGGGACGGGTAGGGAGAGACCGGAGAAGGCCACTGACAAGGACACGGGAGGCCATGCCTCGGAGACGAGGCAAGGAGGGGTGACCAAGGCGGTGGTGACAGAGAAGAGTCTGGTGAAACAGGAGGCGACAGGAGCAGGGGGCAGACTCAGGACCAGACCGGGACGCTGCAGCAAACACCTAACACGATGCAGCTACCTAACCAGATGCAGGAAAGGGAGGAGACCCGGTAGTCAGGGTGTACGGGCTCAACCCAAGCTGGCTAGAGAACGTGGCCAGGTGCCGGCCCGTCCGAGTGCATGAACAGTGGGTCACACGTTGACCTCCAGGAGTGAAGTGGTCAACCCAGGCGTCGTGAAGGTCAGCTCCACTCACTAAGTTCGTGGAGAACGAGGGGAGGTGGAGGCCAGACAGAGAGCCTGCCAAAACCGCCTGACACGGCAGAACCGTGGACGAGTGTGCAAGGACCGGACCCCCAGAGGGGTCAGCAAGAGAGATTGCCACAGGCCGACTGAGCGGCGAGAGTGTGGTGCATTCGCGAAAGAAGGAGCAGGAAGCACCCGAGTCAAGGGTGAAAGTGTGTAAGACCCGAGTCGACGCGGTATCTGAGAGAGCAGACTCACCAGCACCTGGAGCAGCAGACTCACTAGCACCTAGAGCAGCAGCCTCAATGCTCGGGTCAGGCGGAACACACAGAGAACAGTCACCCTCATCACTAATAGACACAGCATACATAGCAGCAAGGATAGCATCATAGTCAAGATCAAAGATAGCAACCCCCGACTTAAGCAGATCACCCCAGCGAGGGATCTTAGTGGCGTCAGGGAACTGTGCACGCTAGGCGTCAGTCAGGCGGCCGAAACAGCGGTGCGAAGCGTGCGACCCTCCACATGTCTCCCCACTGCGCTCGCCGGTGCGAAGAACGTAAGCACAGGGACCAGCACCCCCAGACCTCCCACGCCCAGTGTACCACTCACGAAGCTGCTGGGGCGACAGGGTCTCATGAGAACGCTGCTGCTGCTGCTGGCGCTGGCCACCACCAAAGCCTCCCCGCTGCACAACGCCACCCTGACCAGCACCACTGCCGCCGCCACCCCCACTGCCGCTGCCGCCGCCGCCTCCACCTCCACCACTGCCACCGACGCCCCCACTCCCGCCACCACCCCCACCTCCACCCCCACCCCCTCCGCCGCCTCCACCGCCACCACCGCCGCCCCCTCCGTCTCCTCCAGAACCCTTGCCCCCCTTGCTCCTGCCATTGCGGCGCCTCCCACTAGGAGCAGGCGCAGCGCCGACCGACTCGGTGCCAACGAGGTCGACAGGAGCAGCAGAGGCAATAGAGGGCAAAAGGGGGACGGGGGAGCACCCGTCAAAGAAAGGGGCACGAGGGTCACCACGAGAGGCTCCTACAGCAACTCTACTCTTCTCAGCTGCAAGGAGGCACTCCTCGAGGAGGTCAGTGGTGAGCGTGGTGGGGCAAAGGGAGAGGAAGTGGTCCCTGACCGAGCGAAGGGAGTCAGGGAGCCGGGTGACGAGGTAGTAGAGAGTGATGTACATAGGTGGGGGATTCTTGGTGCAGAACTCGGGAGGAAGCGTAGCGCGGTGGTGGGTGTCACTAGTGCGGAGGTGGGTAATTAGGTCAGCGACAGTGGCAAAAGCGGCTAGGTTAGGGAACAAGTACGGCAGCATGAGGCGACTAAGGGCAGTAGTGGCAGGGGAGGAGTAGCGCGCAACAACATCGTCGTACAGAGTCTTAGCAGTCTTGTACTAGCTAAAGTGCGCGCGCTCAGCAGACGGCAGGTGGCTACAAACAGCAAGACGAGCAGCAGCATCGCGCATGGTCCACTGCGAGCGGAGTGCACTGTCAGCATCGGCAGCAGGTGCAACAGAGATGCGGGACGTGTGGTCGAACAGTGAGACTCCGTCCCTAGAGTCACATTGCAGGAAAAGCTGCAGATCATCGACCCAGACCTCAAAATCGACTGCTCCATACTCAGCATCGAAGGTAAGGACATTAGTGCTAGCCATGTCAACAGGAGCAGCAGTAGTAGCTTAGCAGCAGCAGCAGCAGCAGCAGCAGCAGTAGCAGCGCGACTCGGCAGGGCGGCGCGACTCGGCAGGGTGGCGCGGCTCGGCTGGGTGGCGCGGCTCGGCAAGGCGGCGCGGGTGCGGCGGTGCGCTTATCAGTGGCGGGAGGGGAGGGTAGAGGCCGTGACTGGTGGGGCAGGGCCGTGGCGCACCGGCAGAGTAGGGGCCGCGACAAGGCGGCAGGGCAGGGCCGCGACTCGGCGGCAGGTCAGGGCCGCGTCAGGGCGGCAGGGCAGGGCCGCGTCAGGGCGGCAGGGCAGGGCCGCGATGGTGGGGCCTCAGCGGCGACGACGGCGGCGGTCGCACCGGCGGCTGCAGGCTCGAAGGCGGTAGCAGGGCCGCTACGGCGGAAGCAGAGGCGACGGCTGCTGCAGGCCACGGGGCCTCGGCGGCTGCTGCAGGGTAAGGGGCCGCGACGTGGGGCGGCAGGTCAGGGGCCCCGACGGCGGCTGCAGGTCAGGGGCTGCGACGTAGGGTGGTGGGGCAGGGCCGCGACGAAGGGCGGCAGGGCAGGGCCGCGACGGCCGGCAAAGCAGGGCCGCGACGGGCGGCAGGGTAGGTAGGGCCGCGACGACGAGGCGGGCAGGCCGTTAAGGGCAGCGACGGCAGGGCGGGCCGCTAAGGGCGGCGACTGCATGGCGGGCCGCTAAGGGCGGCGAGAGCGGTCCTCGACGGGCCGAACAGGAAGGGCGCGATGGGCCGCAAAGGGCAGGGCCGCTAAGGGCGGCACTAGGGCAAGGCAGGCGCGACGCGCGCTTCGGGCAGGGCAGTAAAAAAAAAATTAACACGGTGGGCCCTAAAAAAAACGTTCCCACTAGGGAACCTGCTCTGAAGCCATGCCAGAAGGTATGAAACGAGAATGACAAGAAAGAGGGCTGTACAAGGTTTGTATAGGCAAAACCTAACAATGCTGTACCCCGTAAGGAGTGCCCCACTACAGCCTACAATATAGTTCTGACACAGTCACATCTGCATATTCACCACCTACACACCGTAAAATCTGGCATAATGACTGCGTAGCTCTTGCTTTCCTGCCGTATTTTGTGTAGGCCCCTTTTGACAGGTTCAAGCGCGAAACATGTAGTGCGAGTTCGCCATAGCTACTGTACTGTAACACGCAAGATTGTTTTGTACCGCACTAGAATGCTGTACCTGCTTTAGAAGCTGGGAATTTGAGGCATGTTTGAATCTTAAGCTCCACGCCCAAGGATCTGCGGCTCCTCCTGTCATTCTGGTTTCGCAATGCAATGGTGTGAGAGCAATCTGATCTGTGTATTTTTTGATCAATTTACGCAAGAATCATAGACTTCGCCATGCGATATCAAAAGTTGCCTAATTTTGTTTATGCTTCTTCTTCAAACGCTCGTCTTAACCTTTATCAATTCTCCCTGGCGGCCAAACCTGACAGCCTGAACGTCTGCAGCCGATCGCGTGGTGCTTTATCTGTTTGGCTGAGAATTGACCATCTGGCTGAGATTTGATTGCCGGAACATTGTGAGATCAACAAAGACTTGACGTCTCCGTTTGCGTCATCAGCAGCAATTTCGAGAAAACTCTTGATCGAGTCCGTGCTTCAATCGCCGAAGTCTGCCCAGCCAGCTCCAGCAGCCGTCGCGTCGACACATTCCCGTCTATTGGCCGTCAGTTATGCCACTGTTAACAAGTCTTCCGTACACATTACGTCGTCCTGTTCGCCGCGTCCGTCAATTGACGGATCTCGTCTGAACGTCGTCAATGCCGAGGATTCCACTCAGTCGAGTAGACTTTCCGTCATTTCGGTCGTTCAAAGTGCCGTTACCATATATAGTGACAGAGACGATCGTGACGATAACAGATGTATGGCCGTGTGGACGAAGGAACGGCCATTATCCCTGTTAGAATCGCTCTCGTTTTGAAGCTCTCGAGTCGGTTCAATCCTCTGGTTACCTGACGACACGAACGTGCTCTTAGGTGGGACTCGAGTGGGCACTGTTAATGGGAGAGGAGTGTTGGCCCCGCCCTTGCTTGGGCAACGACGACGACTTGGTCGGATGTACGGGAGAAGCAACCGACCGTTCACAGTGGGAGAGCTGCTCAACAGGTTTTGTCGAGCTGCAGGGGACCTCTGTGGTGTTGCCGTCGACCAGGGAGCTCAACAGCTATAGCTGACTGGGCTAGGCGACGGGTGGGCCGTCGATCAGGAGGAGCAGTTCGACTGGGAGGTTGACGGAGCAGTCTGTAGACCTGACAAGTGAGCAGCGGTCGACGAGGGGAGCTCGGCGACAACAACTGACAGAGGTAGCTCGACGGGAGTTGTGGTTGACCAGAGGCACCTGGTGGTCAACCAGAGCACTTGGTGGTCGACCAGGTCGACCTGGTAACCTGCTTGGCGAGTTCTGCGAAGGCGCGCGAACGTCATCGAGGTCGCAGTGACGAAGGCGACTTCGGGCTGGTATCCCGAAGTCGATGTGGCTCGTCAGTTGCAGACAACAGCCGACGGATGCCCAACAATGCAAGTCGCGCCAATCGTTTGCTCGCACATGCAAGCGTGCGCACTGCTGTCTTCTACGGGGCAACGGTGGACAGCCGTTTTGTTGCAGAGTTGACACGCCGTTGACTTGCAGTGTTGGAAGGTCGCCTTTCTGCAGTGCTGGCACGCCTCCTCTACGCAACGCTGACAGGCGGTTGACCATGCAGTGGTGGCGGTCGACCAGGCTAGCTGCAGAGTTGCTAGGTTTCTGATGTACTCATTTACTGACATTGCTTGTTGATTCATTCTGTAATCTCGACTTTGCTAGTGGAAACTCTTGCCGATTTCTCCCATAAATGTGCAAGCGCTAAGGAACTAACCATAGCTACGATCACTCCCAGTAGTTCAAGCAACCCCGATAGTCTAGCTCACTACCTTTGTCGAGTGACTCTCCGCATGGTGCGGTGAGCGTGGACGGCCCCGCAAATTACCTTCGGATTGGAGCCGAATTCTGCACCTACTATGTCGTTCGTAGACCGGCAGCACGTGCAACTATGACGCCTATCCTGCCAACGGCTAGCGCGGTAGAGGACACCTTGGAAGCACGTTTGGTTGATGCACGGAAACGCATTGAGGATGACGAGTACGGGAAGGTCCCCTTGGTGTTGTCGAGTTTGGCATCCGGGCGTAGTGGGCGATGGAGCACCTTTCACTTCCTGGATCCCCTCGACCGGTATGAAATAGAGGTGGCGTTGATGACGAGGTCGACGGTGGTGCACGAGTTAGTGGCAGCAAAGGCACGAAGCAAAGGGGGGTGATCAAGGTCGACGGTGGCGTCGACAGGAGTCAGGCGCGAGTTCAGCGATCGACGGCGGCTACAGACAGCTCACGTGCCGACGTCGATGGTCGACATCGCTTTCCCCTACGAAGAGGTGGAGGGTTCTCGGCGACGACGCACATGACGGTAGGCGGGATCGCACCGTCGTATGGATAATTCAAGTTTTTCCCGGACCGGATCACCGTCACACCTCTACAAGGTCGACTGGACTTTATCATCTGGAGGGAGTCGATTGAACCCCAGCTGGAGGTCACCGGGCCGAAGGGCTTCGCCAACGACACCGTGCCCATTCCGCCTGAGGAAGATGTCGAGCTGCGCGGGGAGATTCTTACTTCTCACTTGCTTACCTTATGGTCATCTCGAGGTTCTGCTCGTCGGTGGCGCAACTAGTGCTCAGGTCCTGTCGAGAGCAACTGGAAGCCGGTCATCAAGCATGGCACTTCATCGTGTCGACGTACCAGGTAAAGGACGACCTGTACATCGGACAGCTGGAGGAGAAGATGACACACATTCGGATGGGCGAGCAGGAGTCGGTGACAGACTGCTGCAACCGTGCTCGACGGATCCTGTATGAGATGCAGATGGCGGGTGCCAAATACTCTACGGCGTCCTACATCACCCATGTCCTCAAGGGCCTACCGCACAGCTACAACCTCATGAACAGGATGACAATGGTGCCCGGCACACGTGAGTCCCTCTACAAGGACTCCCTTACCAGCTACATCCTCCAAGATGAGGCAATGCAGGAGGCAGATCAGCCCACGGAGCTCCTTTCGCAGGCAAGTTACCCTACACCGAAGAAGCAGAATCGTCAGTAGGAGCAGCGCGGAGGTGGTAGCGGAGGTGGTAGCGGGGGTGGGCGGTCGACGAAGGACGTCGACGAGAAGAAGTCAGCTTGGAGTAAGGGCCGTGAAGGTGGTGGTCGACGGCGGGAGTGCTGGATCGGCCATGACCCCGACGATCTCTCCTACGAATGCTCCGAACGTGATGAGAGCGACAAGGACGACAACAAGGGACGTCGCGGTCCATCGGCGAGTCGTCACCCCTGTTGAGATGCAAATCCACGCAAGGAGAAGGAGACATTGAAGAGGACGTCGTCGATGAAGGACGACGACAACTCCACCGGCAAAAGCTGAGGCGACAGGGAGGCGTTGTGCTAGATGGTCAGCTTGGTGGAGTGGACAGTCTCGCTGGCGCCAGAGGCTGGCGAGGACTTTCAAGCGGTGGCGGCAGCTGTGCAGGCAAATCCGAAGGAGGTGCTGTTCGACAGTGGTTGCTCCCACCACCTGATAGAAACAGAGGCGGTCTTCATCG